AAAGCTGTATTATTAGTGAAGCCTGATTTCTTCAAACATTTTCCTTATTTCCCTTAGCCTACCTCAGGAACAATCTTCCACCTCTTATGATTCTCTTGCCCCTAAGATTAACAAACCTTTTATCTACATCCCCGTCTTTGGTTGAAGTTGTTATACCATGAAATTATAACAGCTTGATAAAATTACCAAGAAAATACAATGTAAGGACAAGAAAGATCCTTCTTGGATGCAAAGACGTAAGCAAATTTAAAAGGCTTAATAAAAACCCACTCAATATCCAAAGTCTGCTTCCAAATACATATCTACATTGACTGTTTTATATGAAATAGTAATCCCAAACCTATCAGTACAGGTGCATCACATTCTGAAGTGACTGAATGCTGTGGTAATAGACAGACTCACAGATACCACTGCCATGCCAATTTATTTCATATGCAAACCAGCATCACTGAGGGATGGAATTTTGCAAGGCACTAGTAATAAATATTTGGTCTAAAACAGTAAAATTAAAAGCAGTAATATCAAACAGCATATACTTTTTCCAGTATCTCCAGGATCAATCTTTCAAAAGGAGCAGTTCAAACATTTATGTCTCTTTGACTGACATGGAGAGACCATTACTCTGGATTTAATTTTGTACAGGTGCTATGTGCAAAGTGGGTAAGCTGATCTTTTGAGGTTAGTTCTCTTTTCATAAATGACATAAAAATCAATTCTTACAATAAGTTACTCTAAACTACAAATTCTCAAAAAGATTTAATTTCCAATGGTCTGAAAATGTTTGGTTTGTTTTTTTTTTTTTTTTTTTAGTAGAAATCTGTTCAATCCTTTGTCTTGCTTTGGAAAGGCTGCATAAGAGATCTGGACTGATGCTTCCACTCCACTGCAGACAGGACATCCTATCACAAGGAAGGAATGACTTTGGTCATGCTTTAAGCTTTATAGTTAATTATCCTTTCAGGGTAAGTATGTAATATATTAAGAAATTATTCTCAGAAGATGCTGATATTTCATATCACACCCAATTCAACAGAAGTCACAGGAGCATGTGACACCATCCAGTCAGTCACTATTCTTGAGATAATCAATGTCACTGATCAAAAATTGTATATATTTTCATTTTTGTCATCACTGTTTGCAGAAAACAGTGCTTTGCAGTTATAAATGCTTAGACATGCTCATTCCTTGGGTCAGTCTAAATTAAAAAATATATATTCTTCATGGCTGTTCAAATGCCTGAAGAATGATTTAAAGATATTTAATTCAGCATGGGGTCTAACTAGAATTCACTTCAAAGTCTTTACATATTTAATATAAGCAATAACTGACTCAAAACACCCATCATGTGAATTTCATAGGTAATGTTAAAATCTTTTGAATGAGTAACATATCTAAATTACACAGTTCCAAGAATTTTGGCTGCAACAATTTATATGGATACCATACCTGAGATGTGGCTTGGTAACTACTCCAATCATCTTTTTAACGGTCTGTGCTTCACAAACCCATAAACTTAAATCAACAGCAAGTGTTTTTCCTTTGAGACTGCTGAGGTTGACAGGCTGTCTCACAGGCTCAAGGATTTGCCACAGATTAGTCACTCCCATTGTTCTAGCTTCTTTGTTGCCAGAAGGAAGGTTTTAGCTGTGAAGACCAAAAGAAATAAAATACTTTCAGAATAAAACATGAAATGTGTGTAACATAATAGGAATGTGAGGTTCGAAAAATTAATTTGTCATAATCAATTCTACTTCCATGAACTGAGAACACTTGCAATCAAGCTTTCTAAGTGTGTGGTGACTCCAGTTCACAGATGGTTTATAACTAAACACCTTCTTTGGACTGAACATCTGCATTAGTAATAAGCTGAATATAAATGAAAACAAAACTCAGTTGAGAGAAAGATAAAAATAAACTATTAAAACTATTCACTTCCAAGTCTCATGTGTCCTTTACCTATAAGCACAATACAAGCTTTATTTAAAAAAAAAGAAAACACATAGGATTCCTGAGGGAGTTACTTCCTGATTTAAAGGAGGATTCACATTAAAGTCTTTCCATTCAAACAGAGGTAGCTTAAAGCTACTTGAAGAATATTTTCAATCACAACAGAACTGACACTTTCCTTAGCATTCCAAGATGATGTAAAAAGGGTCAACACCCACAGATTCTGGCTTGGCAAATTCAAGTTGGAATTCAGGAAAAAGTGACAGAGGGTATTGCAGCAGTGGTTGCTCAGAGGCTGCAGAATCTCCACTCTTGGAGATTCTTAACATCCAGCTGGCATGCTATCCTACTGCTTTAAACCAATACTGGTGGAATCAGCAGTGATTGTCGCCAAAATTCGGGAATAAAACTCCTTAACATCAATGCAGTATTAAGATGCAGGCATCGCTCTTATGGCACCAGATGCACGGGGGATAATTGCACATTTGGCTCAAGATAGTACAGGTATTTATTAGCAAGGAATATATGTATTCATCAGAAAAACATTACATGTTTCTGAATAATTTGCTACTTCAAGTGGCCACAGAATCCCTACACTGGATTGGGATGACCTGGTTTGTTATAAAGCTCTTGGGGTTCCACCAACCACCTCTGCTCAGTTTGCAGCACATTGAGCTCTGAGGTCCCATCAGCAAATGTTTTGACGCTTTTAACACCCTGACTGCAGAAACACACAGTTTTTGTGTTAATTTTGGTATTGTGTGACTGGCACTACCGATAATGTGTGCCAGTTGAAAACAAACACACATTAGGTGGTATATTTCTTTGTCAACTTATTAGCCCCTTAAAAACTAGCCCCACTACTCTCCATGCTATCCCCTTACGGGATTTTCTTTTTTCACTATTCTGGTTTTCACCCTTTGCCAGTTCTAACCAAGGCCCCTAGCATATACTCTGCTCTCCCCCCCAACAATGCCTATCTATTCCTTCACTGTCTTATTGTACAAAGTTTGTCTCATGTTTATTTGTTTTCCCTCTTCTCCCTCAATATTAAAAGATAAAAATCAAATAAAATCTGAGATGTTTTGTATTTCTTTCTTTCTGATTTTGACATTACTACAGATGCAGAAAAATGAAAATGCTCTTTGAATAGATCACGACTAAGTGACCTACCACTGCTCGGAGATCTGCTTAAGACACGTGAGGAGCTGAACCACATTTAATTCAGCAGTCTCTCACCTTTAACACCATCACAGTCTGTCAGAGCAGCAAGCCTGTCTTTAGAGGGTATATTGTTATACTCTAAATCTGTTTTAAAGCAAGGCAGCTAATCAATTCCAGGTTGGTCTTAAATCAAGTTGTCAGGTAAAGATTTACTTTCAACAGAAATCACATCTCTAATTCATTCCTTTAACTACTACAATTATTCAACCTGAATTTAGTTGTATGCATACAGAGCACTATATATTGCTTTTGTTGTTGTATCTCAAGTACTTAAGTTAAAAGCACAAATTAAGCACGCAAATACTTGGTATAGTTTCTTGAAGTCCACGATGATCACTTTCCCTGATGCACAGGGCAGGCATCCAAACCTTTCCAAAAGACAAGTGTGATATTCAGCTTCAGTGTGAGAACACCTAGCAAAGAAGGGAGATACCTTTCTGATATTGTCATTTGGTTTCTGCCAGTCTGCATCAATATAATTTCTTAAAAAACAACTGTGTTAGTCAATTTCTAAATACTATTGTGGAATATCACATGGTACTTAACTGATGGGAAAGACATGCACTGAAAACACTTTACACTCCATAAGACTACAAGTAATAAAGGAAAAAAAGTATAAAAAAATTGAAAACAAACAAGCAAAACCCAAAAGGCCCATTTTTTCACTACAATAAGTATAGTTATTTGAGGACTAAAGTTTTGCCTGCAAGACCTATCAGTCTTTGCTTTTTTAGAGTGTATTTTATAAAACAGTTAATCTGGATTCTTCATACAAATAGCTCAACTGCTTCTAATACAAATGATCCATCTACTCAGATTTTATTTAAGAGCTTTACTCATCACAAGCCGCCAACCTGCTCAGAGAGACAGCAACTCCCAAAGAAGGGAGACAGAACTTGATTCATTTTCATATACTTAGAAATCACCGAAAATCATTAACAGTAAATATAAGAAAAAAAAATCACTAAAAAAACCCCAACCCCAAAAATAAGTCTTAATTTCTCATTAGGCCAGAATTTATTATAACTACACAGTTTTTATGTTTTATAAACAATGTTTTAAGACTGTATTCTGCTCTACAAAGTTTTTTACACAGCCAGAAAAGCCAACTACTTAAAACTAACTACAAAAAGCATTTAACGTTGAAATTTAATTCATGTAGAGTACTTTCACACATTACCAAGGTTAGTCGAAAAGACAGCCAAGTGTATGCTTTATGACATAGGGGAGGAGGAAAAGGGAGGAAAAACAGGACGGAGGAAACACAAAAGCCCACAACACGTTTTTAACAACTCTCCTCCCCTCTCTCTGCGCCACCCCAGCACAGCCCTGCCAATAAACCAGCGCACCTGAAGCACAGAAGCATTTACAGAGTCCTCCTCAAACTCCTACGGATTTTTCTCCCCAGCACCGCCCGCGACGAAGGACACCGAGACGAGAGGGCTCCCCGCCCGCGGAGTTTGAAACTCCCGCCTCGCTGCGCCAGCGACGCCCGCGCACCAGGCCCACAGGAACAGGCGTGCCCGAGCACCGCGCGAGATGCGGGGCCGGGCTCAGCCTTCGCGGGGACCGGCAAAAACCCCCATCCCGGGGGAGCCCCGGCGGGCCTGGCTTTGTCCCGCTCGGGAGGTGCGAGCGGAGCCCCCGCGGCGGCCCCGCCCCGCCCCCCCCCCCCCCCCCCCCCCCCCCCCCCCCCCCCCCCCCCGAAAATGGCGGGCGGGCTCACGGAAACGGCCCCCGCCGCGCCCGCAGCGCGCACGCGCCCCTCCCGCGGCGGCCCTTCCGCCTGTCCCGGCCCGGCCCGGCTCGCTCCGGGACCGCTCGGTTTGGCTCGTCCGGTGCCGCCCCGCGAGGGGATCCGGAGCTGCCCCGGGTAACGACCCCGCCCGCGCGGCGCTGATCAGGCGAGGGGAGGGGAGGCGGAGGGAGGAGAGAGAGGAGGAGCGGAGCGGGCGACCCGTGCGGGGAGAGGGTCCTGGCGGGCGGGGGCCGGGCGCGCTCTTGCCCTCTGGACCGACCCCGAGGGATGGAGGGAGGTCGGGCAGCCATAGCGTAGTGGTGACGGCTACTCCCCGCTTGTCCCGGTGCCCTCGGCACGGCGCCGGGGCGAGTGTCGCAGGTGGCTCTGCGGGACCAGTTGGGGATCGGAGCTGCTGTTTGTCACCTGCTGCCGAGCGCGGCCTCCCCGCCAGGCGTGAGGGATCCCCCCAGGCGTGAGGGATCCCCCCCCGGCCGTCAGGGCTCCCCCCGGGCCGTCAGGGCTCTCCCTGGGTGCCTGCCCGTGCCGGCGGGAAGCGGGTGAGGAGCGGGAGCGGCGCCGCCCGGGTGTTCCCACCGCCAGGGGACCCGAGTCCCTTCTCTGCGGGTAGGGGGAAACCTGCCTTGATCGAGCGGTTTTGGGAAAAGCAACAGGTAATCGTGGGCTTGCGGGATTTCTGCCCCCTCTTTTGGCTCCCCACAGAGGAGGCAGAGCTGCCCTCTGTGCCGCAGTGCTGTTCTGGGCTCCTCAGTGCAAGAGGGGCTTGGAGCTCCTGGAGGAGGTCCAGTGGAGGGCAGCGAGGGTGACTGGGGTACTGGAGCATCTCTTAGGAGGAAAGGCTAAGAGAGTTGGGCCTGTTCAGCCTCGAGAAGAGGCGATCGAGAGGGGACCTCATCAATGTGTATAAATATCTGGGGACGGGGGGGCCGGTGCCAAGAGGACGTAGCCAGCTCTGCTCGGTGGTGCCCAGCGATAGGACAAGTGGTAATAGGCAGAAACTTATGCACGGGAAGTTTCGCTTTCATTACTGTGGAAGTGACTGGGCTTTGGAACAGATTGCCCAGAGAGGTTGTGAAATCTCTCTCGTACAATCCTGTGCAATTTCCTCTAGGATGACCCTGCTTAAGCAGGGAGGTTGGACCAGATGACCTGCTTGTGGTCCCTTCCAGCTTACCCCTTCTACGTCAGGCAGTGCTTTTCTGGTGTCTAATAGGATGGTAGAGGCTTCTTGTGCACTGGCTGCAAATACATTAAGAGAGGAGTCGTGAATGTCAAAGACATGTAGTCTAACATGGGACACCTGGCTTGGACAGTCCTCAAAAATGAACAGCACCCCACTGCTGTTCATGATTCTGGACTTCTGACTTCAGCCCTCTGAAACATCTGCCTTTAAGTTCAACAGATAGTGTTGTACTTCCTTCGTAATTATTAATTCCTAGAGTTAATTTGTAATCAGTTTATTTTTGTGACTGTTAAACAAATGCATGGTGTTATACACATCAGCTAAAGACCACAGATATTTTCTTCCTCTTCTCCCACCCTTTGCTTCCTCCTGTATCTTGTGTTCATCCTGCAATAGGTCTGCTCTCATGTCTTTGCTCTACCTCTATTTTGCCAACTCTCGTTTTAGGCACAATTGCTTGTAATAATTTGTAGCAATCCTTTAATTGTTTTTATAATTGGATCTGTCTTGCCCTTACTTGTTCTCAGTTATAGGTCCAGTTTTTATTCCTAACTGTATGCTTTTACTTACATTCCCTGACAGTTCATTTTTTCATTAAATCAGTACTTTTGATTTGTCTTTCTGAATAACTGTTGGATTCTTGTTTGAATTAATAACATTCATGACTGTCATCACGTTTACATTAACATATCTTACTTTATATTGCAATATAACATGAATTTATATTTCAGTTCTTCAATATGATGCGTGGTCCATTAAAAACACCTTCTGTTAACGTTTGTCAATAGAGTATATTGTTGGCTTCCCTTTACTGTATTATGTGTCTTAAAATGTACTGCTGTACATTTTTGCCAGTTCAATTGTTTCCAATATAGTATTGCACACTTTAATACCTTCAGATAGGTTGAATCAGCTGCTTTGCCTTGGGTAGTTATTTCCAAGCTGTTATTAGAGTTATGGTAAGTGGTGCTGAGACTGAAGGCAACTATTTTTTCAATTAAAAACCTAATGAAGAAAATTAAGGGTGTCTTGTTGCAAGAGTTTCGAGAGTAGTTAATGTGAAGAACTGAACCTTTTCTGTCAAAAAGATGATGTGAAGATAAAATTCAAATATGTGTAATTTTCTGTGTTGTTTTTTTTTCTTTAATGTAAATTATTTCTTCCTTTGCCTTTTAAGCTTTGTTTCTTGTAAAATCTTACTAATGGATTCCTTGTTGCTGCAGTCAGTTTCCTCATTCCTTTTGTCTTTTTTATACTCCCTGAAGGAGCTACCTCCACAGACATTTGTCATAATTTCTGAGGCTACTTTTTGCCTGCAGTTCCAGTAAAGTTTTGTTTGCAGTACTAACTCTTCAAAAATGTTGGGGTGCAGATTGTTCTGTCTTTTGCCTTCCTCACAGACTATATGAGTGAGTCTTGGTTACATTGTTCTGTTTTCCACTCATACTCTCTTTTCCTAAATGTTCAAATAGTATAGCAGTGAAACTCATAGCCCTGATCTCTAGTTTGGACGTTATTGATTACAAGATCTAAAGCTTGTGTTTTCCCTTCTTTTTAGAGAAAGAGTTCGATGGAACAGCAGACTGACTGAATGTTTCTCTTCATATTTGGATAATGGATATATGCTAGGAGTGTACAAGGGACTGTTTCCTGGTCTGAATAATTTATGCCTGAAGGCATGTTTCTGTAGTAAACCAAAAGTAGCACAGCAAAAGGTATGTAATCGTGAACTGTGTTTTTTCCTTGATTTCTATTTGTGGTATTAATCTACACAACATAAAATGGATATGACGATTTAGCTGTAAATACTTAATGAAATTGTTATTATTAACAATAATCATAACAATAACATAATAGTGATTATTATTAGTAGCAAAATAATAGAGTAGCAAATTTTAATGTCTGTTGCATTTCTAATAATATATGCTCTAGTCTGTGATACTTGGTAGTATGAACTGTCTGGCTTCCCATCAGTTGAAATCAGGCAATAGTTTGACCAGAACATTAAGCTGACACAAGTGAACTGCTCAAATAAGCATCTCTTTCATCACAATAAGCCAAGCATGTAGATCTGCATGAACCTGAAAAGGTTGGGGAACTTGCATAATGTATAAAGTTTTTTCTTGCATTAATTTTCAGTAGAATCAGAGCCTTGAGATGATTTATTATTTTAGAATCATAGAATCATAGAATAGACTGGGTTGGAAAAGACCTCCAAGATCATCAAGTCCAACCCCTGATCCAACTCCAATTACTATAGCATGGCACTAAGGGCCACATCCAATCTCTTTTTAAAAACCTCCAGGGATGGTGAATCCACCACCTCTCTGGGTAGGCCATTCCAATGCCTGATAACCCTCTCTGTAAAGAATTTCTCCCTAACATCTAACCTAAACCTCCCCTGGCAGAGCTTGAGCCCATGTCCCCTTGTCCTGTTGTCGGTTGCCTGGGAGAAGAGACCAACCCCCACCTGGCTATCACCTCCCTTCAGGTAGTTGAAGAGAGTGATGAGGTCACCTCTAAGCCTTCTCTTCTCCAGACTAAACAACCCCAGCTCCCTCAGCCTCTCCTCACAGGACTTGTGCTCAAGTCCCTTCACCAGCCTCGTTGCTCTTCTCTGGACCCGCTCCAGCACCTCAATATCCTTCCTGAACTGAGGGGCCCAGAGCTGAACACAATACTCAAGGTGTGGCCTCACCAACGCAGAGTACAGGGGAAGGA